AGAGAGATATTTACGCTAAGATAGGAAGTTTAAAGCTCTCCTTACTCTCTGAGCAAAAGTAATCACCTGACAGTGCACACGTAGGATTCTTTTATGCATTAGTAGTTAATGATATTAAATAGTTATTTTACTTATTTAGAGTTTTATACAATTGTAATTGGCTTTAATTTTATTATTTAATAAACTATCAAATACATTGTGGTTTAAAAAAAAAAAAAAAAAATCTATTTTTTTTTTAGCACCAAGTTTCCAAAAAAAAATAATTGTGACATATAAATCATGTGATAGGAGGAAAAAATTTTCCTTTCCTTCCTTTGTTAAAATTAGCAATACTTTAGTAATAAAATGCATTTTTAGTAATAACTTGGTTAATATTAATACTAAAAATACAATTTTATTACTATTAGATTTATTTTATTAAAACAAATTTAACTGATGAATCTAAATTCATTAAATTCAATTATTGAATTACTTAAAAATAGAGTATATAAGATAAGAAATTTTGAAGATATTCTTAAAATGTGTTAATTGTACTAATTTTTTAGTGTAATTTTACTATTTTAGTCAAATAAAATTGATTTTTTTATTAATTGAAAGTTGTTTAATAAGATTAAAACTATTTATATATTAATTTTTATAAATATAAATATTTATAAACAATGTCTTATTATTTTTCTGTTTAGAATATAATTACTTTGATTAAATGAAATCAACTTTTTATAGTTTAAATTTCGTCTAATAGTATACATGTGGCCTGATGTGGGATCCTTTATTAGATGACGAATGGTTCAGTAGTTAATAAATTAATATAGGTTTTATGTTGTATCATGTATATAATATTGATATACTACTTATTTTAATAATTTGTTGAATATGCTGCAGCAATTCAAAAAAAAAAAAATCAACTTTTTTTATTATAATTAATTCTCTATATAGTTACTTTCTTTAAAATTAAAAAAAATTAATATGATCATAAAAATACTATATCTGATATAATATAACAGAATTCCACTTATTTATAATAAAAATTACTATAAAAAATTGGCTATTTACTAATAATTTTACCTTATTTTTTTCTTAAATTCTATTAGTTAATTAGTTAAAAAGGAAAAAAATCATAACAATATAATATAAAATTTTCTTTTATAGTAAGATTTGCAAAGAATTTTATATATGATTTTTACTTTAGGCCTAGAAGTGACTTATCTTATAAGTAAGCAAAATTCTAGTATAACTAAAGAGAAGTTTTTTTAATAAACTTATTAATAACTTGAATCAATGTAAATGTGCTTATAAGGAATATCTAAAGTAATTATAAAGAGTAGGATTAAAACTACTTGTATATTAATTTTTATAAGTGTAAGTATAATATAATACTTGTAAAAAATATATAATAGTATTAACTTACAAATTTTTCTTTTTTTTATTTGCTAATTTTTTTTATTAATTAAATAGGACCTTAAATAATACTAATATATATATATATTTTTTTTATTGCAGTACATTTGCAGTTTTATTAAAGTAAAAAGAATTAAAAGAATCTATATACAAAATAAAGTTTTAAAAATAGCTATTTTAATATGATTAAACTATAAATTACTTATTATACATATAGTATTCTATATATATATTGTTAAGTAATTATTTGATTTTATAGGTAGACTTTATTTAGAAATAGATTCTTATCTTTAATATTTGGTGATCACAGAACTTACTACACAGGATTCCGCTTACTTATAAAATAAGTCATCAGAAACTTAAGGTAAAATTTATAATTGTGAATTTTTAAAAATCCTACTATATAGGTTCTTTACAATAAAAGGGGGGGAAACTGCTAAAAAAAAATTTTTTTAGTTAATATTAATTCTGAATAAATTATAATATTTAGAGTGTTTTTAGTATATAAATATAAATTTAAATTTTTTTGGTAGTTTTCCCTTTTTCTATTGCAAAGAGCTTATATTACACCTAAAAAATTAAATGTTACACTAATTTGTATAATTTTTTTCCTTTTTAAATCAATTAATCAATAAGATCACTAATAAAATTACTAGTAAATTTGAAATTTTTCCTGGAGACCTTTATTAAAAATAAACAGGGTCTTCACTATACTGCAAATAATAATACTAATATAACTTACAAATAAACTTTAAATATTAAATAAAAATATATTTTATGATATAACTTTGTCAATATTAATGCTAGAAATATGAGTTTACTATTATTAAAATTCTCTCATCAAGACAAATCTAATGATATAACTCCTGTATAACCATTCATTTGAGAAGAAGTTTCTGGATTACTTGGATGGCTTATTAGGCATATGACTGCTATTTATGTCTGCTTGTTTTACCAAAATTTTATTAACATTAAATTATTAGTTGTATTAAAAATAAGGTATATAAGATAATAAAATTTTGAAAATATCCCTGTAATATGCAACTTTTAAAAAATTTTAATATAAATTCTAAGTAAAAGCAAATTACAAAAAAACTCAAGAAAATAATAAATTAAAAAAATATATAGTTATAATTATAAAAAAGGAGTTTACATCAAACTTCATAGTTTTAAAAACCTGATGATATTTTTAAAAATTGTAAGATATATATATAAAAACTCAAAAAAATAAAATAAGTTAAAATAAATATATATTTATTATTAGAAAAAAGAATTTACATTGTATATACAGTCAAATCTTTATATAACGATATGTTAGGATTCATAAGAAAAAATTTAAAAAATATCATTATATCAAATTATACCAATATTTATATGTCTTCACATATAGTGGAAATGTAAAATTTTATCAGTATATCAAGTTTTTAATATAAATGTATCAGTATATCGAATATCAGTATATTAAGTTTTGACTGTACATCAGATTTCACTTTTTTTACATTTTTTCAATTTTGGTAAATATTAAAATTATGAAATCTGATTAGCATTTTGTAAAATTTATGCTATATATATAAAAAAGGTTAAAAAAGTATAATAAGCTAAAAAAGTCATATATTATTATTGTAAAAAAAAAGTTTAATAGGATTAAAAATAGTTTACTTATATATTGATTTTAATAAATTTTGAAATTTTTTTATAATTATATTATTCAAAATCCTTAAATATTGTTATTAAAAAGGATTTTCTTTTATAAATATTATAGTAAAATAGTTAAAACTTTTACAGATATAATAAAAATTTTAAAAAGAACTTTGGAATATTTTATTTTTATATGTATAAATTACAAAAAATTGATGATACTTTTAGATAGTATAATACAAGTTCAAAAATTATTGAATATGCATAGTATACTAATTTTAATTAGCTAAAAATTTTATTTATTTTATTTAATAAAATAAACTAATAGCTTTAACAGTTAATATTTTTATAAATTTACATTAGAAATGCAAAATAATGTAAAATTTTATATTAATAATAGTGGTCTGATGATGGAAGTAATTTCTATTTGTAGATTATGTTAAATATTCTGGGTTAAAATTAGTCTTATACTTATAAATAAATTATATTTTAATATTTAAATTTGCAAATTTAACATAAACTGTAATTTTTATGTATCTATAAATATATTTATAATGCCAAATATCATTATAAAAATCGCAAACTTTATATGAAAATATTGATTAACTGTTAAATATTTTACTAAAATTATTTATAAGTGCAATATATTATTATTATATATTAAATAAATATATGTAAAATATTTACACTATATGATGTGCATATATAAAGGTTAATAATAATATTTTTTATATACATACATACATACATACATATATATAATATAAATTTACCCTCCTCCCTTCTTGTTTGTATTTTTATATTTATTATATAACGTCTCAGTAAATAAACGGTTTAATAATAAAAGGATGGGGCTTAAAAAATTAAATACATTAAATACATCAGATGATCCTATTCATTTTACAAAACAATCCCCTTATATTTTATCCAATATTGGAAAAGCAATAGAATGATCGTAATTTTTTTTATTAAACCATAGAAATATTATAATTGTGAATGATATTTTCTTAACAATTACAAATAGTTATTATGAAATCAGCACCTTAAAAAGGGTTTTTTTTTTCATATTTCCGTATTTTCCATGTTTGGAAACCTGTTTCATTGTCAATAATGTATTTGTCTATTTAACCGGATCTACCCATTATTTTAAGAAGGAACCGTGAGAAATTTTTCTAAAACTGTGCATCTTACTACCGAAGTTCGGGCAACTATTATTCCGAGTATATATCAAGTGAAATTTGAAGGATGACTTTCTGAGGTCGGTAAGGAAAATAATAAAATGGGTTTCGAGAAAATCATTTTTCAAAAAGTCGGTAACTTTATAATTATTACGAACTTGCAATTTTAATTTTAAAACTTGCTCGGATCTTTACAATGAATATTCATCATTGGCTAAAACTAGGCTAAAATCATGATTGACGAGTGATAGCGGGAAGTCACGGATCAATTGAATAGATTTGGTACTAAAGAGCGAGGACGAATCATATATTTATACATATTATCTAGTCCATTATAGAGCAAGCTTTTCAATATGCAGTAGTAGAATATGATTTGAGGCTGACATTTTATGCGTGGCAACATTTCTCAGCCTAAAACAACAGGATGGTAAAACAGGAAATAATCAAGTGTAACATATGAATTTGTTTGTTATTACCTTTCTATACGAATATTGCATTGTAATCTTAGATATTGAATATATTATATAAATTTCTTTGGTTAAAAGGGCTAGAATTAATTCAACAATTCAATAATCACGCGCGTGACACTTCATCTGATGCGGCCCCATGATCATATATATATACTTTTTTTAAAGACATTTTCTATTCCTGGATATTATACATTTAACTTCTAGATAATATAAAAAGGTTCTTTTATAAATAATCATCTATCATCTTACTATAAGTTTTATAAACAATAATTCTCTCATATTTTAGAATTAGATTCTTTGAACAAAACTATTGAATATGGTTTCTCCAGCGTCTGAGCCTGTAGAAATCAAACGTGGAAAAAAAGTCGGGTCTCCGAGCCGTAGTGAAGTTGGAAGCCGTCAAAATGCTATAAATCGTCTTGTGGCTTCTCCTCCGTTAGCTCAATCGTTCTCACAACTCTCAAAGTCCCAACCTCTTTCTAGCATATATAATACACAGGATAACTTTCTAAGCACTTCAGGGAAATTTCCTGCTGCAAGTTCTTTTGGATCAAATCCAATTTTGGAAAATTCAACTTTAGATATTCCTCAACAAAAAAAAGCTGAAATTGTGAAAAAGCACCTTGTTACCGAAGCTGACAGTTCCGATGATAATCTAGCAGATAATCATGCTCTTCATTCTACCCCTTATAAATTACCAGGAGGTGATGCAACTCATGAAGTTTACAAGTGGCATGCAGAAGTAGAAAATGCTCCTATGAAACGTACGCGTTCCCGTTCTTTATATTTACCACGACCTATTGATCCGGAAACATCTAATATGAGAGAGCCAGGAGGTTTCCGTCGTCATCATGTTATAATGAAAGCAAGAAAAGCAGGAAAGGAGCCACCAAATATGATTAGAAATTTCATTGATTTTTTGGCAATGTATGGTCATTTTGCTGGTGAAGATTTGTCTGATGATGAAGATGATGAAGAAGAAGAAGATGATGATGATTATGTTGCTTTGGAATCTGCTCCTTTGCTTCCAAGGGAAAGGAATACTTCCGATGGCGCTGCCTCTCCTTCTAAAGCTGTATTTTTGCTTTTGAAATCTTTTGTCGGTACTGGCGTTATGTTCTTGCCAAAAGCGTAGGTTTTAATTTATTATGTAATAATTTGGTTTTTTATCTTAGCATCGTAATTATCGGATTTTCTAATTTTTTATTATATTGTCACCAGATTTTATAACGGAGGTATGGCCTTTTCTTCTATATTTTTGGTTTTTATAGCTCTGATATCTTTATGTTCTTTCCTGATGCTGGTACGGACGCGAACACATTATCCATTCAGTTTTGGTGGTACGTAATAATTTAAATATATATTTGATAAATGTAGCTTAGTTATATGTTAACGTTTATATTGATTTTTAATAGACATTGGTAATGCTTTATATGGAAGTTGGATGAGATCTGCCGTGTTATTTTCTATTACTATTTCTCAGGTATTGAATTTGTACTAGGGGTAACATTTAAGTAATAATTTGTTAACATATAATTTAACCACAGATTGGATTTGTATGTGCTTATATGATATTCGTCGCTGAAAATCTGAAATCGGTTGCGGAACAAGTTTTTGATATCCGAATAGACTTATATATATATATAATGTTACAAATATTAATTTACGTACCACTCGCAATGATTCGGCGCATATCGAAACTTTCTTTTACGGCATTGATCGCAGATGTTTTTATTATGTTTGGTCTTTTATACTTATATTATTTTGATATAAATCAATTGGTAAAAGAGGGAGTAAGTGATATCGCTGCATTTAATCCAGATGACTTTGCACTATTTATTGGTACGGCTGTGTTTACTTTCGAGGGAATTGGATTGGTCAGTATGTTGTGTCGACTTTTCTTTTAGTATTTATGTAATTGATTATTAATATAATGTTATATATTACTTAGATTATTCCCATTACTGAATCTATGAAAGAACCTGAGAAATTTCCTAAGGTGTTAACAGGAGTGATGATTTTTATTAGTGTTCTTTTCACATCAATTGGAGCTTTATCTTATGCTACGTTTGGCAGTAATATAAAAACAGTAGTGATTATCAATCTACCAAGTGATGATCCACTTGTTCAGACCGTTCAGTTACTATATGCTTTAGCCATTCTATTATCAATTCCGCTTCAATTATTCCCGGCGATTAGAATTATGGAACAAGGTTTATTTGTAAAAAGTGGTAAAAACGACCTTTATGTTAAATGGCAAAAGAACATTTTCCGTATCTTAACGGTTATTGCATGTGCTTTAATTGCTTGGGGCGGTGCCAGTGATTTGGACAAATTTGTTTCATTGATAGGCTCGTTTGCATGGTGAGTAATGTTTCTGTAGTACTTAAAATCTTTCTATTAGTGACTTATATTTATAATTGTCGTTTTTATATTTTTTAGTGTACCATTATGTTTTATATATCCTCCTCTTTTCCATTATAAAGTGGCTCGTACTTTCGGTGCTAAAATGTTAGACATATTTGTATTAACGTTTGGTGTATTTTCTCTGTTTTATACCACTCATGTAACCATTCGCAAGTGGGGTGGTGAATAAGATCTTTTGATTTAATTTTTGGCCTCAAGGTTTTCATTGCAAAATATTATACATTTCGTGTTTATGTTAGGCTGGGTAAAAAATTTTGAGCATGTTATATATATAGATTAAGTAATTATTCGTAATAATCATTATATCTAGTAGTTAATGAATAATAAATTTATATTTAGAAGATAATTTTTTCCTTAATTATCTTGGTGGGGTTTTTTTTTTGATATATTATTTAAATAGAACCAACATAAATTGTTTTCTCTAATGAGTAACAAGTCTATCGTTTATAAAGCAATGAGTTTGCTATTTGAAATTTCAACAGAAGTACTTGCATCTAAGACTTCTTTTGATCTAAGTGATCTAAGACAACTTTTTAGTTTATTATACAACTGTAAAATGAATTAAAATAAATTCATACATTGATTATAGCTTATAATATTTTTATTTTTTTTGATAATTGTATTTTATTTAAGGAAAAGATTGATTTATTGCAAAAAAAAGATTGGCTATTCTTTTAAAACATTGCCTATTAACCCCTAAAATAAAGAAGGAATAAATAATACTACAAACTCTGTCCTTCAAAAAAAATTTATAAAACAAATTCGCTCAGCCCAATTATAGGAACATTCATTCTATAAAATACTTTTACTTCAATTCTTAAAAAATATCGGAGCGACCATGATTTCCATATACCAAAAGGTCTAGAAACCGTGAATCTTGATGATATTTTTGTCGATGCCGTTGTCCCCAAGAAAGTTTTGGACTTTGAGACGTTGGTCACCTTGAAGTTGGATTATTTGTCCAAGCTCCTCATCTTGCACAAGTGTACCATTACAAGCGAATTCCTATAAAAAATTAAACAAAAATTAATTTAATGCTAACAACATTATCTTATTTTTATCAATCCTGACCTTTTTGAAAGCTTTTAACAATTTCTTTTGATCATATTCACTAGGTAAACCTTGAACAGTAGTCAAAGTCTTTCTTCCGTTTCTCTGTTGTATACGAATATCTTTTAATAACAAAGAAGTTAAGGAATAAAAGAATGTGTTTTCAAAGTAACTCTAAAATAGAGCTATTTATATATTTTGACCGGTCATCTGTAAATGATGACCTTTTATTCTCCGACATAAAAAAGGATACGAATATACCCTTGGGGTTGTCCTGCTTCTTCTTCACCGGTATCAGCGAAAGGGTCTGTTGACCAAAAAAAAACGGATTAATAAAACAATAAAAATTTAATCGACAACTTTTTTGTATCATACCGTAAGTTTGAAGATTTTGGATCTCGGACATAAAAAACTACGGTTAAAAACTTCGAAAAAAAAGTAATAGAAATTTGGGAAAAGCGAGTATAAAACTTTTTTTTATGCTATTTTATGAGCTTTCTTGTTGAATGAAGGTTTTTTTTGAAAGACGGATGGATTTAGTGAAGTGAACCAAACTATAAAGTATTTTTACAAATATTATATCTATGATTTTATTTCCAATTTTAGAATTATTACATAACTGATTAATAACTAATCACGTGAGCAACATATTTCCTTTTCTGATTTTCTGATTCCTCTTAACTGCACATAGAAAATACAAAGTACCTACAATTTGATTGTGAATCGAAATACATATAAATCATCACCCGATAGTTGTGATAATCTTAACGGATAACCTGAAAGATTAAAAAATTTGCCAACTCTTAACAGAATGCGAATGTTATTTATAATGACTTGTTTAATTTCAAGATTTGCTTAATTTCTGTCACAGTTCAAACTTTTCAATATCATAATTTTATCCTTGTATTAGTTTTCCTTATAATTTTGGAGAATACTTCTGACGCGCTACGCGATAGCTTAAAATTATTTATGTTAAACAAATGTCTGTATATAATTTATACATACATAGGCATCAGTTGCAGCATATTCAATTTGTGATTCCTTAAGATCATAAGCATTCCAATTACTCATGGTCACCTTTTTTGGTTTCGTTAATTCACGTTGAAACTAAAAGAATGCAAAAAATTGTTAAAAAATAACCAACACTTCAACCATTTTAGACAATGCAATATTTTTCGTGGAAGTCGAAGTAGACATGACTTGTACACATAAATTACTTAATTCCGCAAGACTTCTGCTCTGAATTTCATTAATCTTTTAAAGTTTAATCCCATCTCCTCGTATATTACATCCAAATTTGACTACATTTTTTTTTTTATTTTATTTCTAGAAGAGGAGTGAACGTTATCTATTACATTAACAGCATGCGCATACTAAGTAACTACAGGGGCTATTCAGATAATTGGAACTACGTATCTCATCCCACAAGGTAGACAAAGCAGTTATGTAGGACCCACCCTTCGAACTAAACTATGCTAGAAGTAAACTACGCTACTACTAGCACTAAGAACAAAATAAAAGGACAACCCTACAAAAAAAAATGAAGGACCCGTATTTTTCTTTCGACACAAAAGTCGCCACTTGTAAATACTGTAAGAAGTGGAATGATTCACACTATTCTAAATTGTTTAAATGTAGTTAAGATTAAAATAAAGTTAATAAAATACTACTACTATAAAAAAAAATATATTGGCTCTAGTTAATCCTATGGGTGTAATAAGTATTTGTCCCGACTGTAGAGCCAGAGGAAGGATCAGGCGGAACTTTTGACTACATTTTTGTCTTCCAAAATACTTTTTAGAACAATTGGAAAAGTTGTCATGTGATATATATGAAAAAGAAATATTGTAGATGAGTTACATAGTTGTATTAATGATATTTTGGATTGTTTTATTGTTTTGGAAATACTTGCCATTCACAATCAAATCCAGATGTGTTAGATCTTTCATAATTTGGTGCAAGTTATAAATGTGTTTAATTAAAAAGATACAAAATAATTAAAAGCAATTTTAACTTGTTTTCATGTAACCACTCGTTTGCTTCAAGCGTATTTCAATGTACATGTTGCGTCATCCTTATATGATAAGATCGGTAATTTTCGGTCTTTATTTGAATACTTGAAAATTTAAAGCCGTGCGTAGAACTGAAGTATGCAGCATTTTCCATGGAAAACCGGTTTGATTCTCTGGTGGTTTGTTTAACAATGTCAGTTATAAACAAAAAAGAAAATATGTATTATCGGACAAAAATCATACCTGACCTTAAATGGTTTTTTTAATGAAAACTACTCGAATGGTTTGAAAAATTTTTAAATTGATAATCATGTGATGATTGAAAAAAGATAATAAAAAAAAAATTCATTTATTAAGTTTATTATTTCATTATACAAATGTAAAATAACTGTCTTCAGTGCAATATCAAAGAAAAAGAAAGAAAGAAAGAAAAGTAATCAACCGCATCCGCAAGTTTTGCCATAAACATATTTCTCTTTTTTTTTAAAAAAAAATTCCAAGTTAAATAAAATTCAAAGAATAAAAATTTGCCAGAAATATAAAATTTACCTTCACGTTTATAAATTATTCCTGAAGAACTACGGCCACCGTTTCTTAAATTTTCGGCTGCTGACGGCTAATTTTATTAAATATTCACATTAAAGTTTCAATGATTAAACTTTTACATTAAAAGAATTTCTAATTAATACTTACTGAAAAACTATAAAAGAAGTTATAAATGAACAAGAATATAGACCAAAAATAATATTTAATAGATCTTTGGTCACTTACTGTTCCGTCTATTCAAAAAAAATAACAATTAGACTGGATTGTTATAAAAAAGGTAAAATAATTGCAAAAAGAACCACACAGTGGTAAATTCGAAGCCTTTAGAATGCTTGCCTTTAGCAATATAATTTGTCATTTTTTTATTGTTCAAACAAATTTTAAAACTTGGGAAAAAGAGAAAAGACAAAAAATGGCCTATTAAAAGTTATTAAAACTGTGTAACGTCGTAAGATTGTACTATTTAATCTAATCACATTACATTTTTCTTCCAGCATTCATAGTAGATGATGGAACGAGCCCCTGTTTCAAAAAGTAATAATATAGCACTTCCAGTTGAAATCTTTCAACATGCTCTTGCATTACTTCCATTAAAAGAAATATATTCATTCAAGCGAGTAAATAAGGAATGGTATAATTTATGTGACCATGCTATAGTCGAACATATTACTTCCTCTGGCTCACAAGTCCATCTTCGGGCTGGTACATCGAAGAATCCAAAACTTTGTTATGACCTTGATTTCGCAAGTTATGATCCTTCATCGAACATTTTCACATTCAAGCCCTCTCCTAATAGGAATGAACTAAAACCTACTTTTTGTTATTCAAAACATTTGCGAGAGATCAGAATATTGTTTGGAGAATGGAGAGGTGTGAATACGACATTAAGCAAATATTCACCATCGGATCCAACATTTGGAATTCCGATAAAGAGAAATTCTGATCCACAGGCTCAAAAAGTGTTAAGACTTGCTAAATTAGAGTTTCATAAGCATTATATAGAGTCTGTACGAAAAGTATATCAATTAGATGATGAGCCTTCTTTAGAAGAAGGAACTGTTGTATCTTGTTTGGGAGATAAAGATATAGTATTAAAGTGTCATATAACTACTAGACTTTCTTGCAATATACCAGACGACCAGCAAAATTCCGAGAAAGATGATGAATGTTCTCCGGAGGGTGTAGTTTATAGCTTAAGAATAGAGTTTGTTAAAGTTTGTGCTTCATGGTTAGTGTCCGGTACAACATCAAATTTTATTCCAGAAGAATCACGAAATCAAATATTTGCTTCTCGGTTTAATCTTTTAGACCAAATTCTTTCCGAACAAAATATTACAAAATATTACCGATATTCATCAAAAGTTCTTAAATGGATATTATCAGAATACGATAGAAATGATCAAAAAACAAGAGAAATGATTAAACATATATTAGATACCAAAGGAGATTTTTCAATAAGAAGTAAGTTTGAGGCAGCGTTAGAAGGAAAAAATGTGAAAAAGCAAAATATGTGGAAATATTCTTTAGTGGCTCGATTTCTTCGTGATCCTGAATCTTATGATTCTCTTGAGGATGTCGTGAATAGGATTGTTCATACTGAACGCAAAGATATTTCCTTTGAATCTAATAATAATCATTCTTCTAGATTATTTCGTGGGTTAAAACCAATACTTCAAAAAATTAAAATTACTTCATGATTATGTTATTCTTAACCTAGAAAATAGATAAATACGTTATGGGACTTTTTTCTAGATTATTTATTAAAATTTTTATGAAACATTAATAAACCTATAATTATATTATTATTTATGAAGAAGTTGAAGTCGTATTTGTTACTACAGGTTCATTAGAAGCTACGGGTGATGATTTTAATGACCGACGATAACTGCAATTTAAGAATCGTGTCAAAATTATTATACATAATATGTTATAAACCGTAATTTATATCATTTATATATACTAACTTCCATATCCTGTACATTTGAGTTAACCCAGTTCCAGCCACAAACAAATTCACAGACAGCAAAGTATAATTTACGGGGATGATTTGTGTGGAATATCGTGACCAGATCAGCCCCGTTGCTGTAAGAGCTTTTTAATCAAAGAGAATTTTAATCAAAGAGAATAATAAATACCAAAGTTATTTGATTCTGAACTTCATTTAAAGTTATATAAATAAGGTAAACATACCAACATTTTGAGATACTGATAACGATTCTGGGGGACGTTTGAGATCACTTAAACCAGCGATAACTAATCCCTATAATAATCATACAAGACAAAAAGTATATTAGCATCATTTGTAAAGGAATTTCTAACTTAATAAAAAGACAATTACCCATTTCATTACCGGTGCCCAAAAATGAACAGTTTTTGGACCTTAAAAAAAAAGGTTATATAGTTAGTTCTATTTAACTTTTGTAAAATAATTCTTAACGAAAAAAAAAAATACCCGCAGGGTGATTAATAAACTGTTGAAGTTTGGATGAGACTACCGTGTTCGCTGCCATGGAATAGAAATTTTATATTGTTACGATTTAAAATTTTTTACTTAAAAAAAAATGTGAATTTAATTAGCGCAATTCCATTATAAGTATTATAAGTGATTTTCACAAATGTAAATCAGATTGTCGATTTTTTATCATAACTTTTCTCCACCCGAATTTCTTTGAAAGATGGGAACAAGAACGTTACTTTTAACAACTGGTATGTTAATAAGTGGTGTTTGCAACACCATTCTTAACAAATACCAAGACATGACATGCGTTGAAGACTGCGATGATCCAGATAATGCAAAATATTTTGAGCAGCCTGTATGGCAAACTTTTAATATGTTCTTTGGAGAAACTATGTGTTATGTATTAGTTTATGCAATTTTGATCTGGGAATACCATCAAGCTAGAAAATATGCCCCTTTAGCTGTTGATGGCACCTTAACAGGTAATTCAGAAGAAAATATTGTCATTGAAGAGAATGAAAATGCTGACGTTAAAGTTGAAGAAGGAGAAGAATTGACTGGATGGCTCGTATATCTGTTTTGGTTGCCAACCTTGTGCGACATTTGCGGCACTACAGTATGTATTAAGTTTTTTATTTCAAAAAAGAATTCGTTTGGATGGGTTTAATTATTCAACAGAAGTCAACGAACGAAGCATCATTCTGTTTTAAAGATTTTCACACCGTTTTGAAATATATAATACATATTTTTAGCTTATGAATATTGGATTGATCTATACTACTGCCTCAGTTTATCAAATGCTTCGCGGAGCAGTTGTTTTATTTACTGGTAGTTTCTCTGTATTATTCCTTCGTCGCCGTCTCTATGCGTACCATTGGTTTTCTCTTTTTCTCGTAGTTTTGGGTGTCACAATAGTTGGCATGAGTAGTATTCTCTTTCCATCAGCCGAAGAAAAATCTGATCCGTTAATTGATACTTTGAATTCAAACAGTGCCCACACTAGCAATGGCGATCTAAAAGCTTCTATCGGAGTATTCTTTGTTATATTTGCTCAAATTTTTACGGCAAGTCAATTTGTTATCGAAGAGAAAATTATGGAAAGATATCATGTTAAACCTTTACGTGCGGTCGGACTTGAAGGAATATTTGGACTCTTAACAGTTGGAGTCGGTGCCATAATTTTACATTTTACAATAGGAATACATCATCCTGGTGGATATTTCGATATTTCAACAGGCTGGAATCAGATACTCTCTTTTAGACAAATTTGGATTACAGGGATCGCTATAAGCTTCTCCATTGCATTTTTCAATTTTTTTGGATTATCAGTCACCAGGACATTAAGCGCAACTTCTAGGTCTACTATTGATACTTCTCGTATTGTATTAGTCTGGGTAGTTTCACTTTTTCTTGGTTGGGAAAGCTTCTCTTGGTTTCAAGTAACTGGTAAATATATTAAGTAATCACACAACTAATAAGTATTTTTATACTAATACTTAATTATTATTTCTACACATAGGATTTGTTATTCTTGTACTTGGAACATTTATATTTAATAATGTTATAAGACCTCCACCTTTTTTCACCGTACCTTCACCAAGTGTACAAGAAATTGAACCTTTATTATCCGAAGACCATGAACACATGTAATGATTAGCTAGTTCAACTTAAAGTTTAGTAAAAGTTATCGCATTTTTATAATATAATAAGGATTATAAATGGTATTCAATACCATAGTATTTTTTTACATGGCCTAATAGTGTTTTTAAAGATAGCAAAACATCTATAAATTATTTATATACAGTAACCTGCCAAAAATTACCTCAGATTATTTTTTTGGATGCTAAACTGCATTAATTCATACTTAGTAAAAGTACAATAGTCACAAAAATATTGAGTGTAATTGTAGAGAGATGATTTAAAGCTCATTAGATTTACCATAATAAAATAGACCAAATGGTAATATTTAACTTCAATGTATAATTAGTACTCTTAATAGATCGATCTGATCAGATTGGTAATACAGTACAACCTAATTAATCGTAAAAAAACCATTTTTTTGTAAATATCTCGTGATCTAGCAGTCCAATTTTAATTCAGCTTAATATGATCTACAAAACAAAAAATCCAATCACTATGATCACGAGATAATATTTTTCAGATCAGATTACTAAAATCCTGAGCATTAATTAATTTCAAAAATTCAATATTTAAATACAAAATATTGTATATTCAATTATTCAAAAAAATTAAGTTGGTAAATAAATATAATCTACAAATTTATGTTAATCATACAGTATAATATGTGATATCATGATATTAAGTAAATTTAGTTTAGTTTAGAATTTTATATTACTTTTGATTTTTACTTATATAGTTTTCTTGTAATAAAGCTTATTTAATACTTTAAGAAATAAAAAATAAATATGTAAAATATCAAATTATTACATAATCTATTAATTATAGATAGAAAAATGGATTAAAGATTATTAAATTTGCTATGTATAATGAAATGTATTGAATAGTAATATTTTTATATTTTTAATTTCAATAAATCAAAAGTTATTAGCATTTTTTAGTTTAGAAACTTTTGAAAATAATTACTATATATTAAAACTAAAAATATAAAAAAGCCTACCACTTAATATACTTTATTATAGTGATTCTAATAAGTTTCACAAGTTAAAAAGTGAAAAATCAGGCATCAATCAGTTACCAATTGGTGACTGATTGATGCCTGATTTTTCACTTTTTGACCTGTGTTTTAAATTATTTCTTTATGATATAATCATTGAATAATGAATTAATATATTTTAATATTTAAAAAAAGTTGGTAACTTTTAGCAGGTTATTGTATATATTTTTAAAATTTTTAATATAATTAATATAATTAAAGTTAAATTATAAGATATTAACATTATTTTAATATTTATTTAGTGATTATAAAATTACAAAATAAAGTTTTAAATTTGTTATTAATACAAATTAAATAGTAATTTTATTTTTACCTGTAGCACATTTAAAGATAAAAATAATAAAAATAGTAAAACTATAATTATGTATATATAGGACTACATAAAATTCTAATTTATTAAGTACTAAACTACTTGTTATTTCAAGATTAAGATCTTATATATAAATTATTAGATAGAAATTCTAAATAAAAGTTAAATTCTGTATAGAATAAATCTTTTTTAAAGATAATTTTCTTATTTCAGTCTATGCCAGTAAGTATTTAAAAGATTAACTAAAACTGTAAAATGAAATTTAGATTAGAATAAAAAAATTCAGAGTAAAATTTTATAAATTAAAAAGGGGAAAAAAATAAAATTCTAATAACAAGTAATCATTATAATATTCTATTCATCCTGTCTGTAGCTCTTTAAAATTACACAGATATTTATTATCAGTATATAAGCCTTCTTAATAATAACTGAATTTCAGTTAAAACTAAAACTCTTCTTACTTATAATAAAAATCATTGTAGAAAATTAGCCCTTTACTAATAATTTTTATCTTAAATTCTATTGGTCAATTAGCTAAAAAGGAAAAAAATCATAACGATATAATATAAAATTTCTTTTTATAATAAGATATATATATATATATATATTTGCAAAGAATTTTATATATAATTTTTACTTTAAACTAAATGACCTATCTTTAATAAGTAAGCGGAATTTTATGTAAAGTATCTTTTTTTAGAAATCTATAAATTTTAGAGAATTAAATTCCATATTAGTGACTTTGTTCAAATCAATCTAAAAGTTGTAATATGTAATTAATTTTGAGTATCCATGTTCTTAAATAATTTTGAAAGTCTTGCATTCTGTTAATGCAAGCAATAATTGGATAGAGTTTGCAATAAAATATAAAATTTCTGTTATTATAGATTTTAGTATATCCATCAAGATCATTTAAAAGTTTTTGCATTTTTTGCATTACTTTAGATTTCAAGTTGCTGAAAACTATTTCACTAGTATTTTTTTAAGAAAAACAGTCTATACTTCTTCATTAAATTGTCTTAGAGCTGTTTTGTTAAAATAATTTAAAGTTTAAAACAGTAAGAGTAATATACTTCTTCTGTAACTTTAATTTTATTGCAGCCACTTTATTCCATTTTTTAAGGTAATTTAGGATATCGATTTAGAACTATTTGAAAGAAATATTGTAAACTACTATTTTTTATTTTTTAAACATTATTTTTGAAAACAGATTCATAACAAGTCATAATAATAAAACTAGAACATGCAGTTGATGCTTTTACTTTTTAGTATTATTATCCTTAGACTTATTACCATTTTTTAGAATATTTTTCAAAGTAATATTCTTTTACTTATTACTTCCATTAGATATAAAAGAATTTAGCTTGCTATTATTACTACCTGCATTTCATAATACTATTTTAACATAACTAATTTATTTATTCTTTTCTTTTAGGGTAAAAGGTTCAGCTTTTGCATCTAGAAGATTTATTTAATAGTAAATTCTGCACATTCTCTAACTAAGGTTGCAGGCTAAACTCCATAATAAATGTGAAACTTGGTAAAACTATATTAAAAATTTAATAATAAATTGGTAAAACCTAATTATAAAAATTATATGTAATGCCAGTAATGGTGAAACTATAATAAATTCTTATAAAAAAATTGTCAAAATTGAGGTTTAGATGTTTTGCCAAATTCAAAAACTAATTTAGCTCGCATCTATATTTCTAATTGATATTCAGGTTTTTCAATAATTTCCATTCTCATCAATAATGATTTCTGTATAACCAGTTAATCATTGGCTGTATTTATTATTATGTACTTATTATATGACTTTTATTATATTGTTTTATAAACCTTTAAATATGCAAAATTATTCAAAAAACTGTAAAAAAGGTTAAGGACTATCACCATATTGGTGAAATGCATTTCTGGCTGACTTTAGTTTAAACTAAGTTTTTTAAAATTATCTTTATATTTTAAAAATAGGTTCTTTAACTTATATTGTACATTAGAATGGAAATTGTTAAAAACTTAAAGTTTCAGTTGCATTTTTTTGACAAAAAGCTTTTATAATAAAACTGAAAAGATCATATAACTCCTCACTTCTTTGTTAGCAACTGAAAAAATTAGTTTTCAAAAAATTCTTTCTGATTTATATAATTAGTGGTAAGAATTTTCCCATTATAATTAAATTTAAATCACAATAAAAATACATTACAGTTATTATTTTAATTGACTTCTACAAGCAAATAATATAATAAATATATAGAATAATAGAGTATAAAAGGATTTTAAATATCTCTTAAATAACTTAAAAATAATATATAGTAAAATGCATTTTTAGTAATAACTCAATCAATATCAATATTAAAAATGCGATTTTATTAGGATCCATTAAAACCCCAAATATTACTAAAACAACTTAGATCCTGTATAATTAAAATTTCAAAATGTGATATCTTGTAGAGGTACGATTCGAGTTCTAAAAAACCATCTGAATTGAATTCGGATGCTTATTAGCACATCCGAATTCAATCCAGATCGTTAAACTAATCTTAATTTTGGCTGAAATTGTAATTTTGGGTGGAATTAAAGTTTCAATAATGAGAATTAGTTCTGCCTAAACTTTTAGTACTAGTCTAAGCTAACTATAATGCTGGTCAGAATTAAAATCGGATCAATCCATCAAAAATAATCAGATACAGATATTCAATTTCAATTCAGATGAACGGATCAATCTGAATTGACTAGATTACAGATCATAACACTAATATCTTGGTTAATATTATATCTAAAAAGATGAATTATATATCAAAATGTTTATCTTGTTGAAATGAATTTAACAAGCCAAAGATTATTAAACTCCAATCACTGGATCTCAAGATAGAAAATTTGAAGCTAAAATCTATATATAACTTTATACATTTGAAACAGAAATTAATTATAAGATTTATACAAATTCAAATCTGAGTTTTTTTAGTAATGTTCAGGATCCTGATCTGCTTACTTTTAATAGAAGACTCCAGAAAAAATTTCAAATTTACTAGTAATTTTACCAGCAATCCTATTGGTTAATTGATCTAAAAAGGAAAAAAATCATAATAACTTAGTCTTTTTAGGTGTAATTTATCTATATATAGTAAGATCTTCAAAAATTCTCAATTATAAATTTTACTTTAGATTTTTGGTGACTTATCTTATAAGTAAACGAAATCCTATTTTATTACTATTGAATTTATATTATTATATGAGCTGATTTGTCTACCTTTAATTAAAATATTGATTTTGTTACATTTTTATTATACAAAATACTAAAAAATTTTCATTTAATGTTATTATACTATAATTTGGTAAATATTTCTTCTAAATTAATATAATTCTTAGCACTTACTATATATGTTAAAAATTTGTATCTCAATTTTAAATGTAAATATCTCCAGATCCAATAATCCAATTGGCAAGCTCTTTTTTTGCTCATATAGTCCAGATCAAGGGCTTTCCAAAGAGCCTAAATTTATAAAAAAATGGATTAGTAAATCTCAAGATATTTGCATTTAAGCATGTTAAAAAGTTTGTACCTCAACTTTAAATATAAATATCTCCAGATCTAATAATTCAATCGGTGAGCTCTTTTTTCACCTATAAAGTCCAGAACAAGGACTTTTCAACAAGCCTAAAATTATAGAAAACAGAATATATATGCTGCCTAAATTATTTTGAGATGTCATAATTATAATTTGGAATGCTGTATTTCATTCAGTTTATATATAATTTACTATGTAAAGTGCTAAAATAATTTGGGATATCATAAGGACCCAGAAATATATATATAGGGGTCAGATGGCAAAAAATTTTTTTACTATGAGCTGTACACAAAGACTTTTTATATGAGTAGTACGCATAATTGACATCTGATATTGAAAATCCTGCAAAAATACACAAATAAAATTTCAGATATTAAGTTATTAATTATTTTATCATAGCTTCTCTATTATTTATAAAACCAAATACTAATGTGAAAAAAAAGAATTTACCATTTTTCAATAATATTTTTCTAAAATTACACTTTTAACCATTAGAAATTTCTTTCAATTAATACTAAATATTACAATACGGTTAATTAAATAAGTACATACAATAAAAATATTTTATATATAAGATTAGCCAAATTTAGGCCAAAAATATGCAAACTAATTTTTTACATATAAAAATTTTGATAAAAAATACGCAATCTTGATGATCTAACTATAGATGAAAAATTCTAAAATTGTACGCAAATCAAAACTTTACTCCGTCTAATTCCACTATGATGATGACGCATCTGTGTACCCTACCCCTGTATATATATTTCTGGATCCTATGTCATAATTGAATTTGGAATTTTACTTATAATTACGGCAGCCCAAAATAATTTGGGTGGCATGTATAAAACGGAATAGTGAATCTTGATATATTTGCATCTAAAGATGGTAATAGTAGAGCTCCGAATGGGTCAGGTCAGGTCAGGTCAGGTTAATTGATAAACCTGACCTGAAATTTTTTTTCAGGTCAGGTTATATCAGGTTGTCTGTTTGACCTGACCTGACCTGAAACCTGAAAAATTTTTATTAAAGTATTGAAAAAAAATGGTACAAAACTTTTTTATTAAAATATTGAAAAAAAATATTGCAAAACGTTTTTTTTAATATAACATTATGAAAAAAATGTTTTCGCAACGTTATTATTGAAATATCAAAAAAAAAACGTTACGAAATATTTTTTTAATATAATATTATGA